TGTATTATTATGGACATTTTGAAATGTTTTGGTTGATGTGAAACCCGTCCTGACTGTGTTCCGGGCTGACCCCCGCCTGTAGGTGGTTGCAGGGCCGGGGCAGGGTGTGTGTCTGCGGCGCTGACCGGCTGCCGTCTCTCGGTGATTCGGAGGCAGCGCAGGAGCCAGATTTAATGTAGCGGCGCTCCGATGTGCGACTCACACGCTGAGATTGATTACGTTCGCTTCATTGCGTGTCTAAACGGAGAGATCAGATGTGAAACCCGGAGCGAGGAGACTGATTGAAGAAACGGGAGAGGCAGCCCTCCGCCGGCCGGGAAAGCTGACCACGCCGCCGGCTTCCGGGGATTCAGGGGCCGCTGCGGTTGACGGCAGACGTCCGTCTTTGGCTCGAGGGAAGACGGGCCGAATATTCCCATAGGGGCGCAGACCATCCGCCTCTCGGTTTCAGCCACTTTCGAGATGTCAAGAAAGCTCCAGAGGACAGAAGTGTGCGCTGACTGCAGTGCGCCAGGTAGGAGGGAGGGGGAACAAATAAAAACACAATTGCGCTGGAACAATGCACCGGAGGGGGCGACATGTTGGGCTCACGAGGCCGGAGCTGATGTCACTGTCAGCGGCTCCGCAGGGCAGGAAAACGGCCAGGGCCGATGAGTGTCGGGTAGGCCCAACATAAACAGTGAAAACAGACGTGCAGCTCTCAGCTGATGTAAATGTTTGAGCAGCTCCGTGTGTTTTACATCAGTTTATTCACCGCAGCGGAACATTTCGGGGTTCCTTTTGGATCAGAACAGATGTCTGTTTTGATTTTCTTGACCGCCACACACCGCTTTAACCATTAGCTTAGCACTTGGGTGGCAACTTGAGGACCGCGTTTAACACCCCATGCTTAACGCGTCTTCTTATGCTTTCACTATAATGTTTAAAATGTAAAAGCAGTGAGCGGCATTAGCTTGTGGCTACCGTAGTTTGCACAGTCAACAGTTAGCGTAGCTTAGCTCGAGATGCTAGCAGCTAACTTTAGCTACAAGACAAGTTACTGCAAGCTGCTTCAGCTACCAGCCAGAAGGCTCCGGATCTGACAGAAACCTGCGCCTGTAAGCTCAAAAATATTTGCTTAATGTTTCTAATTAGGGATGCACAATATTGCATTTTTGACCGATATGCCGATATGTTAAAATTTATTTGGCCGATAACGATACCAATACCGATACCCCCCAGACCTACTTACAGAGACTACATAGCTTTATTTGCTGTGGAATTAAAATACTACATTATTCTGCATGGTCTTTGTCAGTTTGGTCTGCCACCAAATGCAGATGCCAACAAGGGGGCTGAAAATGATTTAATACTTCAACTTGGATTATGTTTAATGTCAAATTTCTTCATGACATTTACTTTCTCTAACACGATCACAACACTCCAGCAGTGCAAATTTGTAATTTTTCACAAATCTAAACTCAACGGCACACGTGATGTCATAACGTTGTGCTGGCGCTGCAGGCATCCTTATCACTGGGTTGTCGTACAAAAACAGCGTCCACCACCATTGATATCTGTGAGTTATTTTAATGGAATGGCTGACGTCCGATATTTAACTTTGTCACTAATATCGGCCGATACCATGCCGATAATATCGTGCATCCATATTTCTAATTGTTTATTTAACTAATTTTGTAACTTATTTTAAAAGGAAAACTGTGAGCAAGGCTAATGGAGCAGACAAAAAGAGGAAAACTGTTTTGAAGAAACATTATTCTTTGAATGGAAGTAAAACGGGCAGAAAGGTGAATCCTATTTGTAGGTACGTTTTGACTCATTTGGGTACGTCTGGTTTAATATTGTTAAGGCAGGGACGGGGATGTCAAAGCAATCTTTACAACAGCTTTTACCCATTTCTGCATTTCTAATCATCTGGTGCTACCTTCACTCGTGTGTGTATGTGCAAACTTTTAGGCCGCACTTCTCTGCATTTAAAACCTTTAGGTTTTATCTCACTGGGCTGCTTCTGTTGGAGACTAGTTTGTGACTCACTCAGACTTTAAACAAATGTTTTTTATTGCATTCGTACTAAATTCTGAACTTTTGTGAGTAGTGCGCCACATAGCCACGTTGAATGACCATGCTTGTAAAATCACAGCTTATTTTTGCGTGCACAGCCTGTAAAACAGTTTTCTAAGTCATGCACGTTATTTTGCTGTCCACCTCTGCTCACATAGTACCCATTTCTGCCCGTAGTTTTCAGAGTAGTTAAAGTGTTTTTTTTTTTTTTTTTTAACTGAAAAATTAGTTGGATATTAAACAAAAGGACCTGTAGTAAAGTGCTGTCTTTAAACCAGCCTCTACAGAGCACAAGCCAGTGTAACTCTTGTGTTGGTCCCAAGTCTGGGTAAATGGTGCCGGTTGTGTCAGGAAGGGCATCCGACGCAAAACACTTTTGCCTAAACTAACGTGCGAGTGAGTGAGATGGAAGAGGGTGACTTACTGTTTCAACCCTGAAGAGGGAAAAGACAAAAGAAGTAAAGTACTGGCCTTTTCAGGATAAGATCAACTACGTTTTATGATTTTACAAACATGCTCATTCAACATGGCTACGTGGCTCACTACTCACAAACATTCAGAATTGAGTAAGACTGCGATGGAAAACTTGTTTTGTTGCAAGTCTGAGTGAGTCACAAACTAGTCTCTAGGGCTGGGCGATATGCACCAGAATTAATATCTCGATATTTTAAGATGAATGGCAATATACAATATATATATCTCAATATTTTTTCTTTCCATAAAATAATAACAAAAATATATTTCAGAGTCAAAGCTTAGTCCCAAATCCCATTTGTCACACTGGCGCCTACTCTACAAAATAAATGTCTCAAAAATAAAAGTTTTTCCTGCATAACAAAACCAAAAACACAGCTGTGCACGTTAAATTGAAACACAAAACATAGAGCAAATGAACAAATGAAATGATTCTAATGAAGTATATTCATTCAACCTTTAATAACCTTTATTAACAATGCTGTTCGAAAGCCCACATTGTTGTCTAGTTAGCTTCTTTACTGAGATCGGTTCTGTTTGGTTATGGCTTGTTTCTTTCTGGATTTAATAATTCCTATGCTCTTGAATGCACCATGGCTCTTCCAACACTAGTGAACGCACCGCTCTTGTAAAGTGCAGAGCTCAATTGGAGGTTTTTTTTCTCTCTTGACATGGACCCTTGTTGTTCATCGTTTTATGTCTGTTAATATTCTGGTTTTTGTTTTTCCACCTTATAGTAGCTTCACATTCCTTCTTGCTGCAGCTCTGTGATTGCAGCTCCTTCTAAGGCTGAGATGTGCATGTGCACACACACACATGCTGTGCGTCCTGTAAAATGCTGACCTAGCCATTGGTGACAGGCCACCTCCCTACTACCAAGCTTTGTGTCATACAAGGAGGGGATCTTTGGATTGCAAGGCTACATAGCACAACTGGTGCTCTGATTTCCCTCCAAACCTCAAGAGGTTTTAATGTCACTTAGAGGCAGTTTATAGCAGCACTGAATCACATTGTCAGGATGGTAATCCCTTTATTATTCAGCATTGATTGTTTCAGAAGCCCAGGCTCTTGTGAAAACACAGAGGACTGGTTTGCAGTGTTGATTTAATGTCCACCATTGATGTCAGAACCTTTAGTTAGCAGTGTTAATGTTTTTTGTGTGTTGTCCCGTGTCCCTACTGAACGTATTTTAATGCAACTTTCTGAAAATAATAGCAGAGTTGTTGAAGCCAAACTCTTTCAAGATTGCTGCTAAAGCAAAGTAACATTATCAATGCAATCATAGCTGTAACTCTGTCAGTTTCACAAATATTGCGCTAAAGTTTCCTGTGATAGTAGTTGTGTTATTCCCAATACTAAGAGCTAACTGTGGGCGATATGCATTCCTTCAAGGAACCATAGGCTGATGGTTAACTTGAAATAATTTTCCAACCAGACACCCACAGAAATTATTCCTCACCATTTATAGTCATTAACGCAGATGGGAGGTTTAATTGACACTAATAAGAAGAAATGACCAATACTATGTTGTCTAAATGAAGCAGCTTTAGGCACATTTATGTCACTTTGCAGGTTCGCCCAATAAAGCCCTGCTAATGGTGTGTCCTGGTTTTACAGCCATATGACGAGGCCCTCACATTGATTCAGTGAATGGAGTAGACAGCCTAGACTGTGCACGTTTTGATATTTATTACACATATTAAGTAATCCGCCCTCTAAAGCCTGTGAGCCCCCATTCTAAACAAGGGAATCCCGTTCATCAAAGAGATTTTGCATTTGCTGCTATTTTTTTCCTGCCGACATGAAAAACTCGACTCAAAGCATGTCAGTTCATATGGTGGTGGGCTATTTTAGCTCCATTTATACTCTATGCTGGGACAGTTTAATTCCAGGCAGATGTGTGTGGTTATGAATTGTGTGTTTTGGTATTGGACATGGAGCTGCTCATCACATCATCAGAGTCCTGAGGGCATAAACATGACCCAGACTCTGACTAGTGGTGCTGTTGGTCTAACAATACTCCTCATTGTTTGACAGCCGTGTGGAAGTCAGTTTTAAAGTGCTTCTTTCTGTTTCATAAAAGCGACATCCTCCCTATAATTATGCACATATTTGTTTCTGACTCGTCTTTGTCGGACACTTTGTGTGCACTCATTCCTACAATTAGAGGCCTACTCTTCCCTGGAGGAATGCATATCACCCACCACCCTTTATTACCAAAGTTTTAAACCAAGATAATCTTATGTTGAAAAATAACTGTTGTAACAATTTTAGTAAAATGCTATGCACAGTCTCGTGTAAAATTGCGAGACACCACACTCCTAGTGTGTATTGGCAACAACTCTCAGCTACTACCACGTCAAGTTTTATCTCAGTTCTTGTAAAATTGTCCAAATTAGAGCCATTTTTAAGTAGGGCTTGACCATATCATATCAGTGTTTCCCCTAGTTAACTTGCCATGGCGGGGTGCTCATCTCATCCATGATTTTTGTTGAGGGGGGGGGGGGGGGGCACTTGTCTGAGTGCAGCTTGTACTAAGTTTTTGAGTGGGGGCAGGGCGCATTTAGCATAAGGGAAGAGGCAACATGAGTGCTTCCTTTAGCTTTTTAGCTAGAGCGCCTGTATTTCTCGCTGCTAGCTTAGTGCTTGTCAGTGCTGGGTGGGCATGTGGGGGGGCAAGTTTGGTTTGGTAGGCGGGGTGCTCAATTCGGTTGACGGGGTGGGGCACCCCGCTTTTATAATGGTAGGGGAAACACTGCATATCGTTCACCATAATACCTGTAAAAAAAGCTTGCCCAGGCAAATAAATGATATCATGATATGCTAATTTCATGACGTAATATGTCAGGGCGCCCCGCCCCATTAACAGAACCGAGCACGCCGTACGACCAAACTGAACTGCGCATCTCCCCTCCACCTGTCGGTACTGATGTAACGCAAATTAGCTGCGCACAATACTAGCTAGCTAAAATGCTAAAAACAAACAATGCGCGGCTGAGCTGTCTCTCCACCCAGCTCTAAACCACCGGTACAAACACGCGCAGCTCAACGGTCTCTTAGTTCCAGAGTCCATGGAGCAAGAACAGAGTCTGGTGATCAGAGACAGAGGATCAGAGAAATGAATCATTCCTGCAGGAACAGAGGAAGCTGAAACACCACAAGCTTCAGGGTCAGATGATCACCTTGTTCCATCTTCTGGAAGTTATAGCTCATTTAAAGGAAACATGTTTTGTTGTATGTTACATTTATGCTCAACAGATGTTAAGCTTCATTTTATTTAGTTATTTTGGGAAACTTCACCTGCATTTTAGTTTTTGTGGTGGATTTATTGATCTGTATTTTGTGCAGACTTTTTCAATCTAAATAATTGTAGGATCATTTTTATTTCTTACTTTTATACTTGGAGACTGAATACGTTACTAAATAAAGTAATTTCAGTAAAATAAATCTTTTTTTTTTTTAAATTTTATATAATACTGCAAAGCAACATGTTAAGTAC